TAATTTGTAGAGTATAGGTTAAAATAAAATGAAAATGAGAGGTTTCATACACATATTCAGAGATTTCTTGACTTTGAAAACAGACAGAATTGATTATAGGCAGCAATTTGACTCCAGAACCTCCCTGTAAAGTCTATTTCCCTTAAAGGTACCATCACTACATTCATCGTGTAATTCAGAGTTAGTTTAAATAAATATTCCCTTAGGCCTCTTTTTAGATAACGTCACAATAAAAATAGTTTAAGAAATCAGCCAATAGGCCAGTTAAGGCTACCAGTGGTAAGTGGGCAGATAGCATTAAATACTATATGATTTCATTGAACCAAAACTGCCTTTCCATTTATATTTACAGCATCAGAATAACAATATCTAGAATTAATAGTAATTAGAATATTCATATACAAATGTTTACATGAGATTACTCATTGCTAGAATAAGTCTGAATTTCTCAGTTGAGAGTGATAGAAAACTAACACAAACTAGCTAAAGCAAAAAAGCGGGGACGGGGGCGTGGACTCAGTGATAGGAGTACAAAATTAGATGCTACTGTTATGATTCACTGAGATTTGAAGATTATTTGTTACTACAGCATCACTTGTCCAAGCTGACTGATACAGAGTGTAAACTAAGATTCTGGCTTTCAAATTCTACTCTCCTGATACATATATTTTGGTTCATTTCTCACAAAAGCCTCTGATATCACCCAAGTGAATTTCTGTTCCTTAGAACCAATAGTACTTGATAAAACTGATTTAAAAATGATATTATTTAGAACCATTTTGTTCTTAAACATTTATCATGTAATAGCCTTCTATTCTCCTCCAGATTCCAAAGTTAAGTTTCAGGTTGAAAATCTCTAATCTGAAAATTGAAAACCTCAAATACTTCAAAATACAAAATTTTTTGAAAGTGGAAAATTCCACACCTGACCTTGTATTATGAGTCTCAGTCAAAACACCAGCAGCGCACTAAAAATATTGTATAAAATTCCCTTATTCACCCACGTGAATAAGGTATATATGAAACATAAATGAATTTCATGTTTAGATTTGGGTTCTATCTCTAAGATATCTTATTATGTATATGAGAATATTCCAAAGTTTTTTAAAAAAAAACCTTAAGCATTTTTGGTACTAAACATTTCAGATAAGGTATACTGAAACACAGATATGCATACATACTGAAAAGCCCATTAACTTATTTCAGGGAGGAAAGTACAATTTATTTACTGATGGGTACGTATAATTTCTGCCTGTCCTTAATTCTTAGTATTTTAATAATAGTTGACTGTGTAATTTTCTCTTATTTATGCAAAATGTGATTTGATATGATGTTCCAATTAATAGCATCTTTTCATATCATATACAGGAAAAAATTCAGCTACTTCAAACTGGATACAATATTTTTATTGGAGAATCTGAAAACAATGGAGTCATCAGTTATCATTTTAGCTTTGTTATGGAAAAACAAAATACCTTTGGGTACTATATCTTTGTGTAATATTCATTTTCCTTGAGTTTAATCAAATGAGTATTTTTCTCTGGACCCAGGACGATAAGACTAACCCTTTTAGGCCACCTTCAGAGCAGTTTTGGACTATAAACTTGTGCTCTGAAAGAAGCAAGCAAACCCCAATTAGGGATGAGATTTCTATGCAGTCCTTGTTGACCAGTGAAACACTGACTTCTGTTTTGCACTACAGTTCACAGTTGTACTAAACTGAAATTATAAATTATAAATATTTAAACTATTTTTTCCAAAATACTTTCACAAATACAGTTTTAACTCCTTTATATCCTTGTGGATGGGAGGTATGAGACTTGCTTAAAGTCTGGAGGAGTAAGTAGCAGTGTCACCTGTGGAATAAAGTCAGGATTTAGAAAGGTGAACTACTTGAAATTAAAAAGTAATAACAGATGTTCCATTTGCCTGTTTTTAAACATTTACAAAGTCATTTTTTGTATTGCAGTTTTTTTTTTGTCAGCTTGAATTGAATAAAGGGCTACAGCAAGTAAAGTAAGTAAAAGGACTACTAAAAATTGCTACCAGATATAGCTTATCAGTCTACTTCTTGTATTAATATTTTTAATGGATTTTGAAGGTCATAAATGTATGAAATATATTTAAGTTGGTTATCTGACAACTAATACATTTTAACTAATTGTTTTTGAAACTAATTAAAAATAAACTTCATTCATTTTATCTTTAATATGTAAGATGATGACTTATACTTGAGGAAATACATATTCACAACATTTTCTTTATCAGTAGAAATGGATGGCTAATATATTTGAATATTAATGAAAACTTTCAGGTCTCATAATAACTTCTACTGATAACTAATTCCCCAACTTTGGGAGAACTAAGTATAATTCTTTGCTTTTGTATGTTTTGTAGGGCATAGAAATTCTGACCCATAAGGTTTTGTGGGGACAGAGGTATTATTAACTAGAACATAGACTATATGAGAAAAGTGAGTATTAACACATTAACTACCTTTTAAGGAAATAAGGTTGGAGTAGATATGCTGTTCATCTAGTAGATGACAACTGAAAGTTAAAACCTGTCCTCCTTCTGCCTTATTTTTTCTAGGTAGTTTAATCATCTTGACACTGACTGAATAAAAACGATACCTACTTATTATGTTGAAATACATGTGTAAAAGATCAAAGAACAAATGGTCTTTTAGCCCTTGTCTCAAGGGTTTCAACATTTTTTAAAAATCCTGTCTCCAAATTTTAATCCAGTCAGGATCACAGTGTCTACTCACAACTTCCATTATCAATAAAACAAATGGTTTATTTAGGCTTGACATTAGGCTTGATAAAGATTTCAAGGTTCTTTTTGGTCTTAATGCATAAAGTATAGACTCTTCTTCATAGAAAAGTAATACAGTGGGTTGACCATCCTAATTAGCATATGGATTAACTCTTTGACAAGACAGGGTGATTAATTTCTTAGACCCTCTGTAGGGCATTTCAACATAGAATATAGTTAGCAGTCGAACAGTGAAATTGTAATATGAAGAACAAATTGGCTGTGAATTAAGATTTTGAAAACTTTCTAAATTAAATGTCATTAGAAATATAAATTGAAGTGTTAAAAAAACAGTGGTATGTGCCAGTGGGAATCAAATCTGTGCCAAAATAAATTTTCATCAGTGCTAATATGATTCAATAGGTTACATGTGAGACTACGAATGACTGTAAACATGGATTACATTCAGTTGGGATACAGGGTTAAGAAACCTCCAATGATTGCTGGAAATGGTGATATTTGCTCCCAGCTTTTTGCTGTGATCATTGTTCCAGCCCAGAGTTGACATCTCTCAAAGGCTATCTTTTCTAGTTTCCAAGAATGTGGGGAACTCTGCATGGGGCTACAGTGGAGGCCTGCACATCATCTTCACCGTCCTGCTTCTTCCTTGGTCATGCAACTTGGTGACTGATGTAAAGAAAACTCCCCTCTAATAATCCTGAGTCTCTGCCCTGTCCTCCACACCCCCAACTAAGTAGGTTATTTAAAAAGAAAAAGCCAATATAAGCACATCTTAGCAAAGTGGTTGCTTTTCTTCTAAGTGGTATGGGCTTATTATTATAATCACCTCTTTTCTATGAAGCTTATTTTCCTGTATATGTGTGTGTGTGAACACAAAACTAATACAATCGTTAACATAAATAGCATGATTAGCACACCAGAGAGTAACAAGTACTACCAAGAAAAATAAGGCAGGAAGGGAATTATGGGGTTCTTGAGGAAGTGGCAAGCACTGTCATAGGAAGATCTCACTCTAATGGTGACTTGTGAGCAAAGATGAAAAGAAGGCAAATAAGTGAACCATCCAGACCTAGGTATTGGACACTTTCAAGGCTGGTGGAACACTGAATGTAAGGGCTCTAGGTTGGTAGGGCACCTGGCAATAGCTGAGGATCAGAAAAAGTCACAGTGTGGCTGATGCAAAGGGAATGAGTGTGAGGGACAAGGAAGTTGAGACTGAGACTGAAGATCAGGGTCTGCAGGTCCTGACAGACCATTCTAAGGACAGCCTGAGAAAAGCGGGGAGCCATCTGAGGATTGTGATTAGAGGAATGGTGTGACCTAGTATGTTGTTAAAGGCAGTCTTATTGTCTAGCCATAGTAAAGGCACCATCAAAAGAGTCCAGAGATAGAAATCTGTTAGGAGATGCCCCAAAGTTTGTACATACAACTACTGGAAGAGGAAAAGGTTTGAACCCTGGAGAAATGAAGTGTGGTGTTGGGAGGTGGGGGTTTCCACTGGGAGATGCACCTGCCTGGCTTTCAGGCCACAACCGCAACTCTGGTCCTGTCACTCTAGCTTCAGGTCCCCCCTCCCAGAGCATCAGAGGTCTGGACCTGAGCACCGCGTTGCCATGGCGACCACAGTATTTCCTTTCCCGTCTCCAGCACTAGGCACTAGCTACCCCTCCAGGCTGGTGCACCCAGTCTGGCTCTGGGCGGCTCATCAATATTCCGCGGGCGACTTCTACCCTGCCCGCGCCGCGCCTCGAGGCGTCAGCGAATCCAGCAGCTACAGCCCCCAGGGTCCCCGCCACCCCACTGCCTCAACCTGCCTCCTCCCCCAAGGCTCTCAGCTCAACCTGCGCTGGAGCTTGCCTGGAGGCTTTCAGCACTGGAGCGGCTCTGTCTAGCTACGCAGCACTTTTCACATTCCGGCCACGGCCACAGGCTGCAGGCCCGCGACGGAGAGGGGGCGCCCTGCGTCCAGCTCACAAGCAGCGCGCCTCGGGAGACCCACTCTAAGGCATCCCCGCAACTCTCTGGGGATATTCAACTTCCCTGTGTGCTGTATGATTTTCCCCGAGTCTCCTGCAATGCACCAGACCGGGAAGGCAGACATCGAAGGAACCTGCATTGCGCCCCCACTGGGACGCGCTGTGAGCAATAGAGGGAACGGTCTGCAGCAAAACTGGAGGATCCAAGGAGCGGGGAGCTAGGGGGTGGGATCTCCTAGGGCTCACCTTGTGCAGTTTCCACATGGCCCCGAGAGCCTTGACTTCGTGGCTGGAGTGTTTGCCCTCTTCCAAGCACTGGTAGCACACGGGCATCTTGCACTGCACGCAGTACATGCTGTGGTTCTCTAGCTCATGGTCTGTGCAGGTGGAGACCTTTCGAGGGCTCAGTCGCCGACTCACGCGGCCCTGGGCCGGGGGTACCAGGCGGTGCTTGGCTAGCGGCCCCCGGGGCGGGTGGCAGCGCAGACGGCACGGATCGCAGTAGAAGACGTCGCACTGTTCACACATGACGGTGGCCTCCTTGGGCACCTTCTCACAGAGCTGGCACTTGAGGGCCGCAGCTTTGCTCTGTTGGTAGCGGTCAATTACCCCTTCCAAGACGCGGTTCTTGGGGAAGCCGCGTAGACCCCGGTCATCTAGGATGAGGCTGCGGTGACACTGCGGGCAGGTGATACAGGAGTTGCGGGGCACCGGGGCCAGGGCCGGTGACAGGTGGGTGGGTGGTGGAGGCATAGCCGGGGGAAACACACGGACGCCGTTGGGGGACTTCTGACACGGGGTAGTCGGGGCGCTAGCGAAACCTCCGTAGGAGCCATAGCCGCTGTCCGCCTCGCTATACAGGCTCATCTTGTCCAGGTCCAGGTAGTCATAGTCGGAGACCCCAGAGCCGGAGGCCCGACGGCTCTGGGGGGACTCAGATTCCGGGGTCTGCACCAGGATGTTGCGGGCGCACGCCTGACATAGATTGTGAGAGCAGGGCAGGATGATGGGCTCCCGGTAGAAGGAGCCACACACGGGGCATTTTAACTCTTCTTCCATCTCTTCCATGGGGAACTGGCTGGAAACGAGGCAGCAGCAGCTGCAGCAACGGGTTCCTCAGCTGGTGAGATGGCCGACGGGCCTGTCGTGTCCAGCACCTTGGCCAGCGGCGACAGCGGCGGCGACCGCGGTGGTGGTGGCGCCTTCCCGCGTCGCCTTGGCGCCGACTCCCTGCGATGCTCTAGCTCTGTGAGCCGCGGAGCCGCTGTGCCGCGCGCCAGCCCAGGACCGCCCCCAGCTGCCCTCCTAGTCCCGCCCCGCCTGTGAGTCAAGGCTCATTGGACAGTGGGCGAGAGAGCAGGGCTATCATTGGCCAAATGCCCTGTCTATCTCCTCTCCTCCGCAGGCCACTGGGGGTTTGGTGGTGAACTGTGCGGGTGAGGGGAGTGTTCGCTCGCGGCTGCATGATCTCAGGAGGGGGCCGGAGTGCGGAGGCTAGGGACCGGGAAGGAGAAATTAGGCGGGATGACTCATCCCTCGCCCTGCTTCCTTCAGACCTCCGGTGCAGTCGCCCAGGAGCAGGGGGGCGTGAGAAACCCCTCCCGCCGCGAGTGAGCCGGCGGAGGGGGCTGATGCCTCTTGCCAAGAGGCGTTTGGCTTCCAGCTCAGATCCCGGCGCCGACCCACCAGGGGCAAGTGCTGCGCAGAGCGGAGGACACCCCTTTTTCCGCTGCTGGAAGCCTGAGTGGGCGCTTCTCCAAGCCTGGGTTTCCACAGGGCTTTTTGGCGTTAAGCCCGCTCCGAGAAGCCACAGAACCCCTCATTCCGGGAGCCTGGTGGTGCAGCTGTGAGCCAGGGCAGGAGTCTCCTGGCTTCTTTCTCCCTCAATCCCTAGTCTCCATAAGGAGAGGTTTAACTAGGTACCCAGTGTTCTTGGGGGAACATCAGCATCAGTTTAGATCTATGCCCGTCTTCATTTCTGGTTTTAAATTCTGTCTCTGCTGGAGGCCGCCGTGCTTTGATGTGAACGTGTCTCCATCGTTTGTCACCCTCCCTGCATCCCAAAGCCATGGCTTCATCTCGCTCAGCATCTGGCTTGAGCTTTCACAAGACCAGCAGGAACGTTGGTTCAGTTGAGGCAGGAATAGTTTGTCTATTTCTGAGTGCCTGTGGTTTAGTAACTAGCTCTGTGAATGAATCACAGTGTGACAGAGGAGTCTGAATGTTTGACTCCAAACAATATTATTCAATGTCACATGCCATGAGCATCTACCACCGCTTCCAGCACGGGGGTTTCTTTTTGTTCTGTAAGGTAATGGTGATAGTGACATGAGTGGGATGGAGTGGGTGGGGTGGGGACGAGAGAGTGATTCTAATGTTAGTTCTTAAATATTAAGCAGCCTTCTCTTTCTTCTCCCCAAACATTTCTGGAGATAATGGTTCCTGCCCCATGCCTGCAGAACTGTTGTTTTGGTGATTTAAAAGGCAAAAGAGAGAGCAAAAACATGAGACGGAGAGAAAAGAAAATCTTTGAATCAAATGACATTCCCAGGTAATAACTAACTTGAAATAGCATATGGGTGATTTTTGCTGAGTGACTCATGAAAGAAATGAAAAAGTTCTTTTCAGTTTCTAAGAAATCTTTCAAATTCCAACCTTCCAGAAAATATAACTTGATTATAATGCTGCTACATTTATAATTTAAAATCAATTCATTGTCTATAGCAGTTTTGTTTATATACATTACTTGGCTCACTCTCAGTAATAAGAAGAATTAGTTACAATTATCTCTATTTTACAGATTAATAAACTGAAGATAAGAAGACACTTGAGGCCTGGCTCTGTGGCCCATGCCTATAATCAAAGCAACTTCTGAGGCTAAGTCAGGAGGATCCCAATTTCAAGGCCAGCCTCAGGAATTTAGCTTGACCCTGTGTCAAAAATAACAAAGGGCTAAAGATGTAAATCAGTGGTAAAGTGGCTCTGGTTTCAATCCCCAGTACAAAAAAAAAAAAAAAAGACACATGAGTTAGTAACTCAAGGCCAAATACTAGTAAGACTAAGACTGGTATATTTGAACCCAGCCAGGCATGTGAAAATTTGTTCCTTTGTTCATTCATTTGTTTAATAAATGCTGAATTTTACTTTGTGTTAGATGTTATATTCTGTGTGATAAATACCCCAAATGGTGGATCATTGTTAACTAATATAATATTCTGCTTACCTTCTGTGAGAGTTTCTTTTTTTTTTCTTGAGTTCATTTCTCTAAAATATATTTTCATAACCTTTAAAGAGTTTCCTCTCAGGTTACACTATTTGGCCATGGTGTTCTTTAAAACCTCCCAATGAATTATGTTTAAAGGGGAATAAAAATCTGAATGTAATTGATGATATTGCAGAAATATTATACCATTGGGGGAATATCTTCTTTCTTCCAGCTGGTGATTAGTCCATTCCCTGAAGCATGAGGATTGATAACCCTGTAATTTCATCAGTCCTGGGGTGACTGCAGATGTTCTCATTTGTGTAAAGTGCTGATTATCTTCTGAAACTTACTATTCACCCTAATGGTGTTCTTTAGCAGTTATTTGAACAGCTTTTCTATTTCTAAAAATATATAAATGTTTCCAATGAAAAATAGGGTTGATTTCCTGTTTGTTTTGACTACAATGCTTGATTATTAACACAATAGTCTTTTTGAGTCTAAAGAATGAATGTAGAGAAGAAAGGATTTTCTTTCTACATTTCCTCCTAGATCTATCTATGCTTAGTTGTAGAGGCTGTGGGGAAGGGTGGGGGGATCAGTGTAAGAAGATGGTCATATCCTCTGATACTTTTAATATTCTTTGACACACATATAAAAATATTTTGTATTGGTGGTTCAAGGCATTTGCCAAATTGGTTTCAAATTTTGTTTCATTTTTTTCTTTAAATGAAATTCTGAGAAATCTACTTTTTATGAAAAATTAATCCATTAGTGTTTAATTTTATATTTGTAATGTTTTATACCATTTTTAATAACATTCATTTATTGCTGATGTTCTTTGGTATTTTAAATCTCATGATTATTATGGTGAAATATGAGGTTTTTGCTGTTTAGTACTACTACTAGAAGATGATTTTTTTCAAATTCTATAGCATTGGTAATTGTAAGAAATGTATTATTGATGCTTTGGGATCAGTAGCTGGAGGATCTGAGAAAATGGAGATTTAAGGAATCCTATGCTAAACTAAGAAGTAGAGGATAATCCAGGAGACCTAATTTATGAGTCATGGGAATGAGGAAAAAGCACACATGGAGGCAAAAAGCCACCATTAAAAAAATAATATCCCTGAACTGAAGACATATGAGATTATAGAGTGAAAGGATTTTAGAATTATAGATGGCATTGACTTAAAAAGATTCAGGCATATATGAATATGATTCTTGAACTCTGATGAAAAAACAGAGTACATCTTACAAGCCCCTAATCAGACAAAAACAAGTTAATTATAAAAAAAAAAAATAGAATCAGGATTTGACTTCATTATGCAACCTGGAAGTCAAAAAGAATATGAAATAAATTCTAAGGTCTATTAAATGTAAAAGAAGGCACCCTATCTTAGTCCATTTGTACTGCTGTAATAGAATACCATGGACTGGCTAATTGATAATAAATAGAAATTTATTGCCTCACAGTTCTGAAGACTGAGAAGTCTAAGTTGAAGACACTAGCATCTGTACAGACCTGCTTGCTATATCATCTCATGGGGAAAAGGCAAAGAGAGAGGGCAAGAAGGGCCAGAATTTATCCATTTATATGAACTCTTGTCGGCCTTAATGGTATCAATCTATGAGGATAGTGGCCCCATGTTCCAAACACCTTTTAAAGGTTCTACCTCACAACTTCTCTATATTGAGAATCAAGTTTCCCAACACATGAACTTTGGGCAACACTTTCAAATCATAGCACATCCTAAGTATTTTATAGCCAACCAAGAGATCATTTGCTATTCAGGTAAAAGAAAGATATTTGCAACATAGCAATAACATATATGAGAAAAATATTAAAGAAATTTCATTTGAACCAAATGAAATGAATCTTAGCAGGGTCTCAAGATGGGTTAGGAATGAATGGGAAGTAAAAACATTCTAAGGACCTAGTATTGGGGAGAAAGAAGAAATAGGAAAGAAAAGATAAGAAATGTTTCAGTTGAAGGGATTGCTTGATATCTTCTTTTCCCCCCTCACATAATAGTAAGTAAATACTTGTATCATTAGGCCTGTGAAAGGACATAAATACTAGGACTATGAAAAGCACAATAGAACTTGCAAATTAACAAACATTAGCAAGATATTGTGTGAAATTTTATAACAAAAAATTTTTAAAACTAGAAGAATGGATATGTCCCCGCAAAATGTAACTGAATTAACCCTTCAAAGTAGAAGACTGAATAATAAACTAAACTCTATAAAAGGGATTTGAAAGATCATTTGAGGTTTATTACTAAAAAGGACAGGATGTTTGAATAGATGAGTTCTGTGTAAAAACAAGCAATTTTGGCTTTATTGAAATAATTTAAAGAAAAACAGAATGTTCCCAAGTTCACTTTATAAAACCATCATGACTTTAATAACAAAATATTATTATATATTTAATAGAGAACACAATAAGTAAAAAACTATGAATTAAAACTAAGTATTAGGGCATAGGGTTGTAGCTCAGTGGTAGTGTACTCACCGCCAGTGTGAGAGGCACTGGGTTCAATCCTCAGCACCACATAAATATAAAATAAAGATATTGTGTCCACCTAAAATTAAAAAACAAAGCAAAACAAAAAACTAAGAATTAGATGCCAAAATATTAAATAGTATATCAGCCAATTGATTTAAGCATTGAATTAAATGACCAATAACTATGACCAAGTAGGGATTTTCTCAGAAATGGTAGTATAGCTAGCTGTCAGGAAAACTATGAACATAATTTATTACAAAAAAATGCAAGAGACAGAATTCCCTCTTTTGGCGAAGTGTGAGTAATTTCCCATTCATAAATTACTATAAAGCAGGATTATCTATTGGAAACAGCTATAGGCAGACAAAGAGGTTGGTAGGCATGCACTTTACCAACTCTGTCCTTAGAAATCATAGCTATGAGCCAATGTCTACCAGATGACCATTTCTAGATTTCGGTATACAGAAGAAGAACCCAAACAAAGCCCCAAATCTCCCTGAGTTGAAGAGACAGAGATTGAATTATGAGAAGACCAAAGAGGCAAGAATTTGCAGAGGAAAGAGATAAAGAGGGAAAAATTTTCAGATATCTATATGGTGATTTGCTTGAGTCTTGGAACACAATGTTTGAATGTAGGGTGAATTGCAGTAACAAATTCTGAGGAAAGAGCAATTAGTGAAATTCTAATACAAACAATTCTCAGAGCAATACAGGACCAGGAATGTTTCATGTTCCCTTCAGCCAGAATAAAGAGAACTCATTCAATATACAAAAATCAATTGTATCTATTTATACTAGCCATGTATAATTAGCAACTGATATTTAGAACCTAATCTTTAGAATACTGCTAAAAACAATGAAATCAAATACACTGAAAACTACAAAGCATTCCAGAAATAGATTAAAGATGACCTTAATAAGTGGAAAGATACACTATGACCATAGCTCGGTAGGCTTAAAATGGCTAAGATGCCAGTTTTCCCCAAGTTGATCAACATACTCATTGTCATTTCTTTTTTTTTTTTAAGAGAGAGAGAGAGAGAGAGAGGATTTTTCAATATTTATTTTTTAGTTCTTGGTGGACACAACATTTATTTTAT